CGTTCAAAAAAATTGTATGCAGGTTACCCAGCCCTGTGAATATGTCAGATCTAAGCGTTGTTAACTTGTTCATACGCAGGTACACCGTTGTAAGTTGTGGTGTTGAGTTGAAAGTCCCAGCCTGAATATCAACGATCTTATTTCTGTCTAGCACAAGGTACTCCAAGTTCCTTAGCCCTATGAACATGCCATATCTGAGGATTTTAAGGCGGCTTCGGTAGAGATCTAACTGCTTTAAATCTGACAGGTGATAGAATGCCTGGCTTTCAATCCTGGAGAGACGCCTATTGGAATTAAGATCTAACATCTTTAACCTCCTGTACCGCGAGAAATCAGACTGACGTATGATTCTGATTTTAGATCTAGTAATAGTTAAATCTGTGATAGTTGTAGGCAGGTCCTGTGGGACACGGCTGAGGGACCGAGAGTCACATGAACAGGAAAAAGGTGAGCAGACGCACACGCTGTCACTTTGGGAAGCTTCTGCTGTTCGCAACACCTTAAGGATGACCAGGAGGAACATCACTGCCATCAGCACACCTGCTGGCTTCTTATCCATGATGATCCTGTCATGGTACAAGACATGTGATACTAAGCAGGCATGTCACCTGCATATGCAGGTAAAATTGCAGTTGTGTACAATGACTGACTAGGTACTTCTGATATCTATCTGCACCAGCCCATGTACTGCCTGGGTTTATGTACAAAAAGATGTGTATTATCCTTAGTACATGTCATTCGATAAAAAAACACATTCAAAATAATTATATCAATGCTGATCTCTGATCACTAGTTTACCTTGTATTAAGCACACCTTACTAATGACTGTACTTTATAGGACATTGCTGATGTCCATGTTTAAGGTATATTATTACCTCCATGAAAAATTAATGGAGGTATTGTTTTTGGCGCGTCTGTACATGTGTGTTTGTGTGTGTGTGTGTGTGTGTGTGTGTGTGTGTCCACACATTTGTAGTCAGCATAACTTCAGAACGCCTATATGGATTGTGATGATATTTGGTATGCTGGTAGGTCTTAGGAAGCCAAAGGTCAAGGTCAAATATGGGCCCCTGGTGACTGACCTTGGTACTGCAGCAGAACGTCTTTATGCAAGGCAGTGAAAACAGATGTGCGGTAATGCAACAAAACACCAGCACACGTGTGGAGGCAGCGGGGATAATTAACGAGGTTCTCCCTATGGAAAAGGCTACTTGTACAGTTGGCGATATCTATTACAGCCTGACCTATTTCAGGACAAATTAAGGTTTGAAAACAAAACCCTGTTTTATTTTGTTCTGTGCTGTAGTGTACTGTGTAAAAACATTTACAAAAACTCATATATTTCATGGAGGTATGAAATCTCCGAATTCTTGTTTATATAGTACATTCAGCTGGCATTTTGCCTTCTATAAATGCTTGATAGTTACAATACAATACATTACAACAAAACATAATATAGGAAGTAGAAAGCTGTGACAAAACTTACCTTGACTGTGAAGATTGACAGCTGTCAGGTACAAAACTGGTCAGCAGCAGAACTCCAAACTTGTGCAGTCAACTCTGGAAACGCCAATTTTCTCATTTTTCAAAATTCTAATTTTAAATACCTGTACGGTGCCTTATCTGGTCCCTAGACCTAAGAGCCGCATAATTATTACCTGCACGATGCCTTACCTGGTCTCCAGACCTAAGAGACGTGCATATATTACATGTACAGTGCCTTACCTGGTCCTCAAGCCAAAAGCCACGCATATATTACCAGTACGGTGCCTTACCTGGTCCCCAGACCTAAGAGACACGCATATATTACATGTACAGTGCCTTACCGGGTCCTCAAGCCTAAGAGCCACGCATATATTACCTGTACGGTGCCTTACCTGGTCCCCAGACCTAAGAGCCACGCAATTATTACCTGTACTGTACCTGGTCCCTAGACCTAAGAGCCGCTTCAAATACAGTACTCAGTCACTTATTATTCTTCCCAAGCAATCCCAAATTCAGATTTCCTTCGATGGTTAGTTTGTGATTGTTTTTGAAATCAGTGAATAGCAGCCGGACAGTAATTATAAGCTAGTACATAACTACCTCAGACGTGTACACAACAAACTTCAAATTTAAAGTACCTTCCAGGTTTGTCCAAAGTTTCCTTTGAAGACAGTCAGAACTCGAGGCACAGGAAGGCGAGCGGGGACGGTGTCTTCTCTCCTGACTTTAAGGACCTGGTGAACTTGAAGAATGTCTACTCTGAAAAGTCCCTCCTCTAATTTACAGCTGCGCCACAACAGGCTTTGTACCTTGATCCTTGTCAAACATGCTTATTGATTGATTTGTAAAAATAGAACTGTTGGTTAAATACTGATCAGGACATGTGATCACTACAATTGTTACTCCGTGAAGGAGGTCTGGTTCACAGTGGAATGATCTACCACTACGCCACCCGACGCCACAATTCTAGTAATCATCAAAACCGGAAAAACCACATCTTTTATGTTGTCTAAGATTTGTCTGTTCCCTTCAGAAGAGAGTTGAATTTTTCAGCGGAAAGACCCGTCTCCACAACTGGTCCACAGGTACGTCTTTAAAGCTTTCAAACAATTACCGATGCCTCAGAAGCATGTCAGAGGCGAAGCTGAAGCTCTTAACTCCAATACCGTACCCAGTCTCCATCTTCGCTTTTCCTCTCTGTTGTTCCTGCTAGCACACTCCAGTATCACCTGTCGGTCGTTGCCTAGGTGTCTTCACTCTCACTCCTTGAACATTTCTCACTCATGTTTCATGATTCCATGAAGTTTCTTTATCAATATAAATTGTAAGTCTAGCAGTTTCTTGGATCGTCACGCTTTAGATTATTGGGACGGGCCGCGCCGACATAGCGAGGGGCGGCGCAGGCCAAGTCCGTCGTCGCTATAAAAAATACTACTATCTCATAATAATATGCTAAGAAAAAAGTTAAAATCAGAGTCAGGACTCTTCTAGATCGATAATAATTACAAATTTGTTGATCCAAAATTCATATTATTTGCTGAGAAATTATGGGGCCGACTTGTCCTGTGCTTGGTGCCGAGTTGTCCTGAATGGCCAGGGGCCAAGTTGTCTCAGGGGCCGAGTTGTCTTGGAATCGCTTGGGCCCAGTCAACTTCGCTTTTTTTTCTCGTTAAGGGCTGCTATCTGGCTATCTAGTGGCCAGCAAATAATGATGACATATATCAGGTAACGAAATATTGCTAGCTAAGACCATCAGTAGGTATAAGTTTCCATGCGGTGTAATGTTGGGTATTTTAAAATCTCTAATCAGATTTTTTCGCTAACCAAGACAGTATCCAATAGTCAAAGAACAAGGTATCTTTTATGCAACTAACTGCATGCTGTCTTGCCTATTTACCGTGTAGGCTACCAAAATGATCTGTTTGGAGATTAGATATTTTAACAAACATATTAATTCCAAAATATGTACACTAAATAGCCAAAAACATCGCGGCGCAAAACTCATTCTTACAAACTTAGGACTCCAAAAGTGCTTTGCAATTATTTTATGATATACGAAGATGCCAACCTGAGTCCCGAATGTTTTAAACATTTTGAAACATTTGGCTGGCGCCGCCGAACAGTAGCCACCCTCGCTGAACACCAGCCAGCCACAGTCGGCTTTGCCATGGTTGGGGGGAATTCAGTCGTGTTCGGGAGAGAATATTTGTCAACATGTGGCAGGGGCTTAGTAATATTCACAAATGCATACTGTTAACATGCCTCTATCTACAGACATATCTTTTTACCTACATGAAAATGTAGATATTGTTTTTGGTCTGTCTGTCTGTGTGTTTCCGCAAACCTGTGACCAGCATAACTAAGAAGGCCTGTATGGATTGTGAGATTGTGGGTATGTTGAAGGAAGACGAATGTCAAGGTCAAATTTGAAAAAAAATATCCCAAAACAAAAAGTCACCCAAAATTACAATGGCTCTAAATATTTTCATGTACATGTAGGTATGAGATCTCCGAATTCTTGTTTTATCCATTTAGTTAATAAATGTACTGATATAGATACGCACTTGCTTCACTAGCTTGTTTATTACTTCTAGGAATCCAGGGATATTTCATCAGTTTTGTCAGCAGCACGTGAAAAGATGTCTACAGCTAAGTTCACACGAGCCATCGTCCGCCAGATTCCCGACTCCATCCGGGACCATTCGGAAGCAAACGAATATAATGCAAGATACGGCCTACCGCCAGTCGAGCCAATCGACCTGGAACTAGCCCGTAAGGAGCACGCGGAGTACACACAGACCCTGCGGGACCTGGGGCTGGACGTGACCGTGTTGCCGGCAGACGAGTCTCTCCCAGACTGCCCCTTCGTGGAAGACACCTGTGTGGTAGTCGGCAACAAGGCACTGCTGACTCGGCCGTATTCAGAGAGCAGGAGGCGAGAGGTAAAGCTTTATTTTTTACACTTTGATAGTGAGGACTTGTAAACTTATAGCCAACTCCAACTTAAGCTCAAATCAAGACTACGGCTGAGGTTGAGTTGCTATTCTCTTTCATTGCTTTTGATCTGCATGTATGTATGTATGCATGTTTGTTTGTTTGTGTGTTTGTGTGTGTGTGTGTGTGTTTGTGTTTGTGAAATGAAACCTTGCAAATGATAAGAGCTTTTAAATATAAAATATAATAATTATGTAACATTAGTTTGGAAAACCACAACTTAAAATGGTCTGCGCTGTATAACCAAAACATGATTTGCATAATCAATGAGACAAATACAAATATGTACAAAAGTTTTAGATATTTCATGGAGGTATTAGACCTCCGAATTTTTGTTCATCTGACCTGTAACCTTTCCAGTTGAAAGTATTCCTAAAACTGTGAAGAACAGAGCAAGAGATAAACAATTCCTCATTACGATGGTGCAGATTAAATTTATGTAAGCAGGAAATACATGTCGCCTATTGGCGGTTTTCAAAGATTCCTGGGAGGATAACCCCAACAAAACTACATGACATTATAATTATAAAGATGAACTAACAAAGGTCAACTAAAAATAGATAAACTTATCGTGAACAAGACGAAATCGTAACTAACTCATGACCATGATCCTGACGTTTGTGCCCTTTGGTTATTATTTATACTTCGTACTTTTTTTCTCTTTCTACTCTTTTTCTCTTGTAAAGGTCGACGCTGTAAATAGGGTATTGATGGGCCTTGGACTTGAGATACACCAAGTCGATGATGAAGAAGCAACGTTGGAGGGCGGTGACGTTTTCTTCACAGGTCTGAACGGTTACTGACCTGATTTTGTTTAGTTCTGTCACGGCCGCATAATGAACAAGAAATCTGAGATTCCAAACCTCCTGGGAAGTATATAATGCATAATGCTCACAAAACCTGTTGACAATTTCAGACATCACATTGACAAAACTCGAAAACATTAACTACTGTTAGTGCCCTGTCCCCGGTATAGTGGTACGGTCCAAAAAGTGGTCTGTTATTCTTCTAATAACTGACCACTTTTAAGGTTATGGCCTGATAACCAATGGCAAATTGAACCTACTGATTGGTCAACGCCTTCTGGCTATATGATAATACATAATAATACATTATTGCAAGTTTGTTGCAAGCTTTGACTTTGTTTTACCCTCTTTCCACGGGCGCCGCCATATTGGATTGTGACCTATCTTGTTATTTAGGACACGAATTCTTCGTCGGCAATTCAACACGCACCAACATCAAGGGTATAGAGTTCCTGCGAAAGACGTTTCCGGAGTATCCCGTACACGCTATCCCCCTGGCACCGCCCGAGTTGCATCTGAAGGGGGTCGCCTGTATTGCAGCGCCTGGAGTCATTGCCGTGTGCGAGAGCGACTGGGGGATTGCCGCCTGGAAGGTTTACATATTTTCGCTCGTCTCAATACAGTATTTCTCCGTCCAAGTATACATTTACCTCCCAGGGATATATATATTAGCACCGCGCTACCTTATGTGGTCATGTAACCTCAACTCTCGTAATTCCACCCTAAAACCTCCTCTTTAAGGGGCATTATGTAGCATTTTTGCACCAAAAATTGAAGGAACCCAATTAAAGAAATCTTGGTTTGGTTGTGATTTACGTTTATTTGCAACACATTTGTGCAATTAAATCACATTTCTGACATCTATGGTTGGTGATAAATTGCCCACACAAGGTGCATCCACTTTGTGGCACCACCGCAAAATACTAGTATGTAAACAAGCATAGTTTATAGCTGTGCTTCCTATGATTCAACTTACTTTATAAAGAAATGACCAGGAAATTGACTGTTTGTACGGTCCTAAGGTTATATAATGCAGTTTTATCAAGTCCTTCTCATAAATGTCTTAAGTACATGAATATCGGAAGTGGGCATACCTCAGAAATTACTGATAATGACGTCTTACATATTAAAGTAAAAGAACTTTTCAGCAGGTAACTGACACCTGGCTAACTAAACCTTAGCAATCCGTGTCAGAATCCGTAAATAATTTCATCAGGTTGGTAAACGACTGAATAACAGTTCTTTTTATCACAACCATTTATTTTTCACTAGCCGACGTCTCGATGACCGTCTGTCATCTTCATCAGGGCAATTCTGACTGGTTTACTGTGTACTGACACTAGATGTTACTTGGTGCACTAAAGG